TTGGAAATGTGCATGAAAGGAAGAAGTGACATTCACCATCGGAAAACATGAAAGTATCAGCGGAATTAAAGTGTCATTAACTTTTCCAAAAAACTATTTTTTATTTTTACAAAAGAAAAATGTGAGCTTTGAACTGTCAAAAAAAGTAAATAAGTTAAAAGAGAAAGAAAGAAGTAAAGCTAATTTTCAATTCTTTCCAGGAATCTAATTGTAAACATTCAATATCATTCAGACATCATCAGAATAATTTGATTAAGTTCACATTCAATGTAAAAGTTGCTGTATATTGGATCAAAATCGAATACGTTTATTTATCTCCGTTAACTTTTATGATTAATTAGAAGTGTTAGAAATTATGTCTAATTCGTTGATATAATGCAATAATTCAAAAAATCAAATTTTATTATCTCAAAAAACTCTTTCATTAACGTAAACACAAAAAATGTCTACAAATAAGCGTATGTTATAATTGGAAAAGAAAATTAAAATTCTCGAAGAAAGAAATTGAAATTTGAAATCAACAACTAACTTTCGCTTCAAAAGCACCAGTCAATGGAGAAATGATAAGAGATTATCCAAACAATGAATACTTTTCTTGGCTTTAAGGCACAGTGCATTTCTATAGAGCGGAATACCATATTTCTAAGTACTGCTTTCTTTACTAAAAAAAAAGCTTTACAACTGTCAAATCAATCGATATTGTCATTTTTTAACATTGTATACCTTGAAATAGATACCGGGATGTACTTAATGTTGCCACTGAAAGTTCAAAAGGAATGAGAAATAGGCAAAGAAGGAAAAGACAATAACAATAACAATAACAACAAAAACAACAACAACGTTATTCGCTGGTTTACATGTATGGATATGAATGTATCTATCCATCGTTCTTTCACTGAGTCCTCTTAAAAAATGTTCGAAGAGGTAACGAACGACGGGTGGGTACTTCGTTTGCATAAAAAGCGGAGAAGAATGGGACGCGCAATGTACCCCATGATCGAAGACGACATACATTCTTTCTTTCATTTTGTGCTTCTCTAACGCTTCATTCCGAAGCAACCAAAATGTTACTTTGTAACCATTAGCATATGTGATTGGTATTTGGTGATTACCAGGTGAGAAGACTATTAATTGATTCAGTTATCAAATTGGATTTCTTCTCTCTAGCTATTATCAAAATCGCCTGATCATTTGATTATTATCTACAGACAGATGATTGGATAATAAATATATAAAGCAAGATAGGTATGATGTTAGATGTGATGTCAATATGATCTAATCATCTGTATGCTGGCCGATAAAAAAGATATCATCAATCGCTTACTAATGATGAGTACTTTGTAACGGCCATAGGATTGAAAAAGATGCTCAAGAACGTCTTTTTCGAGTTTGGATAAGTTTTCCTATATGTGCCAATTTCCCAATCACTTCTCATTACCGTCGCAGTATTTAAGTGATTATAATGAAGGATTGAGAAAGATAAATAAACAAAATGCTCAACTAAAGGCAATAAAACTAGAACTATGAGGTCAAATTTGATCTTGGCTACATTTGGCTACTTCTCCTTATCGAATGGTTGGTTCATTTTGTCTAAAAAGTACTTTGGATGATATCTTGCATTCACGTATACATCGACAGAATGGACAATTAGCGGTTGGTTGAAGAGAAAAAAAACTACAGGTAAACGGATATATTTAAATAACATGTCCATTATCTATAAGGCATGAAACATAGATTCCAACTATATCGGTTTCATATTTAGCCCAGGTATGCTCATTTTAGAAAGAATGCATGCAGCATGTTTTAATACTTCGATGATGAATGGAGTAATTGTTAATAGTAATCATAATTTACTCTTTAAAAAATCTTTTTCTAACACTTCCTCAGTTCTGATCTACTCACTTGATAAAAGTATCATATTAAATATTGATATGATAAAAGTCCGCTTAGTTAATTTAATCAAATACCTATAGTATAATGGCTGCCTTTAAATGTATCCGCGATATCAAGCTAATGAATCTTTTCAAATTATACAGTCTAAAAATTGTAAAAAACGGAATGCGCACAACTATGTTATTCTCCAAGTATATCAAAAAGAACAGATGAAAATTTTAAATAGACCATTATGATTTGCTGAATTGCAGCATTTATCCTGAAACTAAAACGATTCAAAAAAAATTCGACAACTTCAAAAACTTCAGTAGTTGTTTTGATACATTATGCTATAAAATAAAAAACAATTGTCTTGAATAAAAACCATTATCGAAATCGGTTTAACTCCTTCTGAACACCATCAATTTAATGCAGTGATAGTATTACATGAAATTATTTACTAGGGTTTCTTGAATTTGATTAGATAATTGGACTATCACTATCAAGTATTGAAGATTCCATTAGTCAAATTGAACAACCCAATTAGTATAATGATCTTTCATATGTCAATTTTTCATTCGCTTGATTATCAGACTAAATTCCAGATACATAAATTAAGATTGTCTATACTTTTCGATGCTAAACACCCATTAAGCCTCAATTTTTTAAATATGCCTACTTATTTTTTATATATTTTCTTATTAAACCATTTATGGCATAAATTTCAAGTTATTCCAACATCTGAGATGAATTAGATTTATAAAAAAGCAATTTCAACAGTATTTTATGTAAAGTAAACCAACTATTGCTACACTTTCAGATCTTTTAAATGAAATTATTTTGAAGTAGTGCAGGTAACAGCTGTTCTTTTCATACCTTTGTAAGCTTACCTAAAACTTACCTGTATTAATAGACGTCTTTCGCAGTGTTCCGAAATTTTCCATCCTCAAAGAAAAATTATCGAAAACCGACCAGTGGCAAAGATATGGGTAATAAAGTGATGAAGGTCATTCGATTGAAGATGCTAATAGTCCTTTAATCGATTATAAATTACTTGACGTTATTGAGAGTATTCTATTCTATCTTTTTCTTTATATCACTTTATCTTATTCCACTCCATCATTCATCAGAATCTACTTCAAAAAGCTATGTTGAAGGTTAAACTTATGTGACTCTCCCTGTAATCAATTCTGTCATTCTTCTGGCTATTTCTAACATTAAAGATTTTAAAATAATAGATCAATTTCAATGTTTTGATTTCTTATTTAATTATTACTCAGACAAATTTTTCGTTTCAGACTGTAATAAAATTTTGAAGGACGGCAATATAGCTTTTTTTACTTCTATTTAACAAGTTATCAAGAAACTTGAAAAAAAAGATACGTTGCACGCAGTAAATTTCCAGAAATTCATGTTTATAAAATCTAAGAATATCAACAGTTCTGCATAAAATGTTAAAATCAACTTAAATTACAAATGAAATTCCCCACAAAGAGATTTTCCTCATGAATGCTCTTACAATGTTAAGCCCCAGTTAAGTTCAAGGTTTTCTCTGTGATTTAAAATTTTTATTAATTTGAAAATCGAGCCGTGTACTTGAAATGAAACGGTATCCACAATGATAACAATGAACAAATCATCCCGTACATTGATTGCTCACTCTTATTACTACAACAGACAAAACACAACGATCCAGACTTCCTTCCGGTGACCTTGAAATAAAAGATAATGAGACGAAGATAACTCTCCTGTAGATAGCATAATTACCCATCTGATGAGTGAGTATCATAGAAAGAGACGGAACAAAATTTACATTCGATAAATTCATTTGTTTACTAGAAAGCAGAGACACCAATCAACCTCAAGTCGTCTATCTTCGGTGGGAGGAAAGGAGATAATAGGAGGAAATTCTAATTTCTATCATAACATCAACGAAAGCCAGACATCCAGTTTTTAAAGTGAATAAGGATAAAGGAATTAAGATTTCGTAATTCGGTACCGAAATGATACTGAGCTCTTCCACGAAATGGATTTAATGAAGTGCCTTCAACAAACTTTGTATGATTTCATGCAAAATTTTATTTTAAAATTCTTGCTATACTTCGAAAGAAAACCTATAAGAACAAAAGTGTTAGAAATTTATGGCTTATAAAGACGGAACATATGAACCGGCTTTTTTTTGCATTCATTTATCAGAAGCAGAAAGAAGCAAAAATTGACAACAGTTATGACAGTAATACAGACAAACTGATAAGCTGTTAACATACAAAAATATTCTGACACTTTTCTGAGGAACAACAATGGCATTACCGAAAAGTAAATATCAGCCGTTCCTAACGTATTCCTTGAGATGTTACGCATCTAAATTAATCTATCATTCTGCAGGGATATTCTAAAAAATTTGAACGTGCATATGGAACATTACTTAAAGATTAACCAATTAAAGATAGAATTTCTATCACCAGAGATTTCTCTGAAAAGCATCAGAACGGAAGACGAAAACTGCATAATCATTTGCTTCCAGTTTCCACCGAATTCAAAGATCAAACTTAATTAAATATCCATTAAAAAATTATACATGGAACCATTGTCAAATTTACAGATAAAATGAGACCACATGAGTAAACATAACGACGTCTTAGAGAATTAGAGAAAAGTCATTCACAGTATAGATGCAAAATTCACTTGCAGAGTCAAAAAATAAATAAAATAAATAAATATATGAATGAGCAAAACAAAACATTTTTTAAAATTAAAATCAAAGAATGAATCAATCTTTACACCGAAAACTCCTCTGGATTCAACTGATGATGAGTTTTAAGAAAAATCTAAATAAGACTCTTCGCTAAAAAAGATTGAAATCTGCTATGCAGAAAAAAATTTTGAAAATAGTGGACGTCCCAAACATCTAATTTGCGGGGTATCCTCGTCCTTTTTAATTTGCGAGGTCAGCTTTGTTCATCCTCACTTAAAAAAGCCTTTTTTAGTTTAAAAGCTAGGTGAATATTTAGTAAAAACCCTTGGAGAATATTAAGCCTCAAAATAGGAGTAAATCCCAAATGAGTATCATCAAAAAGAAGTGATAGACAAAAAGTACTTAACATCGGAAAAGAGATTGCAAAACAATTCTAACTTGGCGATAAGGTGTCGTCGAAGATTCGCATAAGAGCAGTAAATTCATGCGATTGCGACTTGTTCATACGATCCGCTAACAAAGTAGCTTTAACCCTTATATTTGTCAGCTGCTGCATACACCTGAAAGAGAGCGAGCTAAAAGGAATAGAAACTTAAAATCAGAATTCGGAATAAAAATACAAAGTGAACACAATATTTTGCTATTAGGTTTTATCAAACAATTTAACTTCTTTTGGCACAGCACAAAACTTATCTACCCATATTAAAAAACCATGATTTTTGTATGGTACATAAATTTAATGCCGATTTTTGAATCTCAAAACCAGACTTTACCAGTTGGAAGAAAAAACAAATGATAATGAATTTTTAGATACAAGGCGGAAATGGATCGATCATTCGTCCAATGTACCTGATCACTTACTATAAATATATTCTTCATTTTACTTCCATCTTTCTTTTATAAAATTGGTCCATAACTAACTTTATACATTTATTGTGTCGTTCTTCAGCAGGAACATCAACACCAATTTGGAAACGACGATGAGAACCAGTACGAATTACATCTCCACAACCCGTAATTATTGCCCTGAGCGCATTTAATGCTACCTAAAATGATTTGAAATATCCGATTATAAAATCGTTGCACTTATGACGAGATAAATATAAAGATATGCCGCTGAACTTTTAAAAAATATGTAGTAATAAAGAAACAAATTTGAATTTTAGATGTGGTTTTTTTATAAATTTCAAATCCTTAAGAATGAGAATGAGACTTCCTTACCATTACAAAAACGTGACATCTTCAAGTTACCAAAAGTTTTTAACAAAAAGTCAGAATTTTTCACTTAAAGAAATTCCGTGTACTCGACCACTAAGAATGAGAAACAGGCTAAGATGTAGGCTTTATAAAGCCCGCACAAAACGTTTTAGAAAGCTTCGCAACTGTGTTTTTATCATTATGTATTATGTTTTTATGTTATCATTATTATGTATTATGTATTTCTACCACATAAAGTTATAATTTTAAATTCTTTCATGATTGACCTCCACATAATCTTCATGTTTATTCGCGAACAATGGCTCGATATGTGGCAGAATAGCAGCACACAATGTCAAATTCCAAACTCCAGGCATATGATTGAATGCATCAACCAACTCAACCAATACTGCTATATCATTGGATCGCGCAGCTTCTGTGACTGCCGCTTCAGAGCCGCGTGTTCGCCAACAGCGTAACACATCCTCCAGTACCACACGTCGTTGATTGATTATCATTTCAAGTTTGTCTAAACCGGCAATTACATCACCTAAGCTGTATGGTTCGTTTGGTATTTCCTGACCTCGATTCCGACACAACTGCTTTTGTTGATGCTGATGTTTCATTTCATCATTATCATCAAGACCACGGTTTTTCTCTTCCTAAAAATTGACAATTTTGTAAAGTGACACTAGAGTAAGAATTTCTAGCAAAGCATTGAAAAACTCAGGAATTTCACTCAGTAATGGGAAGGTCACTTAGCTTCTAAAAAACCATAGAAGGTTTTTAAAAGTGTAGACTACAAATCTGAAAGACAACCTTCTTTCCAGAGACAGCACATCGAATATCCGGCATTGAATTTGTTACTTCCATTGCTGTCGCTAAAGAAAAACGTGATTCAATAATTTCATCAATTCATTTTAGAATGATGAAAAAGGATGCATTAGATTTAGATAAATTTTGCGACGTAATTCAGATAAAATGAGAGCTAAAACTCATTACCATCAGAATGCGCTTCTTTTCGAGATGATAAGTTAGATTGTGATGCTCGAAGGACCATACTATTCACTTTTCGCGAGGTACTGGCAACTTTCGAATGGACCAGTCTAAAATTAGTCATAATATTACATGAAGACCTCTAGTTTTAGGTAACTGTCTAATTTGCATATCGAAGCAATCAACTACCTAACATCCGAGTTTCATTCCTATTTAATCTGTCTTGGTGGAAGGTGAAAACAAATTAATCGAAATAAATCCTATTGCCCAAAGATCAAGTTATTTAGAGCAGAATTATCATTCAATCTGAACATTTAAATTCGAGCTATCATTTCAACTTGAGTATGAAATCTTTTATCTCGAAAATTTCAATACTAGTACAACAGTTCCCGTCGGTGAAAAAGTGTCAGTCCGTATAAGGAAGAGTTAACCAAATCAAGTCATCATAAATTTGAGTTTGAAGTTCTCTATACCAGTAATATAGAGATCCACAATTACTTACCTCGAATTTGCATCATTTCGCTTCGTTCTCAATGTTTTTGTTTTTGCAGACATAGATATAATCGTCGTCAGTGGTGTAGTTGTCGTAGTCACAGCAACGGTTGCATTCTGTAATGAGTCTTCACTCTCTTCATTGAAAAAATTTCTTCATTTAAATATTTATCTAATAAATTAATTTAAATTGCTGATATCTTATAAACGATCAAAGATCAGGCTGTTCAGTAACTAGCTAATAACCTAAAGCATTCTTACAGGAGGCATATGATTCATTTGGATCTATGTAACATTGTAACCAATATAAGAGATAAAAAAGCAACTAAACAGAGTCTGCAAATCTAAAGATTGAATTCCGGGACAGCTGCCCCATTTCAAGTCTTCGTAACTTTAGAATTTTAAAGAATAAGAGTCTATGGCTTACTTCAGTGCGCGGTATTACTCGCACGGGCCGTGAAGGTGGTGTACGTGGTAGTGTATGTGTCGGTACAAATGCGCTGCGATCATCGTAATAATGTAGCGGTTCCTTCTTTTCTAATAATAATTCTTTTTTCAGCTCGTTCCTTTTCGAATCACCAGGGCTTGCCTCCGATAAATTTAGTTTGCCTGCTGTCTTCAGCTTATCACTTCGATCTCCGGTTTTCAGTGACTCTTCTTGAGCAAGAAATTTCTAGAATTGGTAAGCTCTTTTAGTAAAACTTGACATGAAAAATAAAAAAAACTTGAGACCCACTTGCTATTTCTTGCTATCCAAGTTTTATTATCTTTCAAAGTCTAAGCTGATAATTTCAGTGTCTTCTACTATTTATTTACCTACAACTGCAATGATGAAAACACTAGCTTCAGTCGTGAAACAAATAAACTGATAACTTATGCTGATTGCCTAAAAAAATTTCCCCCTCCCCTCACTTGCTTGATTATTCCACTTGTCATTATGGAAGAAAGACAATAGGCATTTTTCACGTTCTTTCAGTCATCGTTTTAGTCTAAAGTTTCAAAGACAAGGGTAATTGCAAGCAAAGCATCCATTAATTAAATTAAGTTTCAATGCATTGCTTTGCTGTGAACAAAATATGAGTAAATGATCACAGCATAAAATAAACTGTAAAAAAAATTTAATAATGAATTATGGATTATAAAAACAAGAAGAAAAATCCATCTGTTGCCACTAGCTAAAAATTCATTTTTCGATCGAGTGGAAGCTGATGCCATCAGCGAACCTTTCTCATATAATTTTTTACAAAGAATAAAAAAAGACAAACATTATTCTAAATAAATGCCTAAAAAAGCCACGATGGACCACGTACCAGGAACACAAAATGCGATTCATTTAGTTGCCTGGTAACGAATTCGAAATAATAAAACAACAAAAGAAAAAAGAGTAGATAATATAATGAAAAAGAAAACTTTTTAAAACCCCCGCGTAATTTTCTAAAATAATCACTATAATATAGTGTTTCATTGTATAACTTCTTATCGTCTTCCCTCAAATCCTGTTACAGTTTTCACTATTGTTTATAATTTTGCAATGAAACTATGAAAAAATCACTTCTTTCTGATAGCAACTTTTCTTATAACCATTTAATCGGGAAATTAATTTTTGAAAGACGGAAGCAGCATTTGCAAAGCCTCTTCACCAAAATCCAGTATACATTTTGCTTTTATTTTTCACCAACGGAATAGTAGATGAATCAAAAAAAGGAATTATTAGGTTTTCTGTTAAGCAATCTCTTTCCAAAAAATGGAGATTTACATACTTTTTGTAAATTTACTGCCAGTTCCGATTTGTTTACTTTAACCAATGAATGTCTATTTAGACTGTTTAAAAAGATGCATTCATGTCCATTTTAATGAAATGAAAACATACTAACCGCATAAGGTTCCATCAGTAAAGATAAGCTTCTCGACAGCACAGATCGTCCAAGAACAAAAACTTCTGAATCTGAAGTCGCCAAACTTAAGGAATAATCCATTTGTGGAACTATACATTGTCCGAGCATTTCGAATGGTTCCCATGAGATTGCGCTACATTTGCTGCAAAATCAGAGTGATTAATATTCACTATACTACATGGTAAAATTGTATCAAATCGTTCGTTTTTTATATGCAAACAGAGTAATTATGTTGCAGCGATCAGTCAGTTAAGAGAAAGCTATATTTGCTTAAGTTAAAACTTTTTTTTTCTATAATCTAAGAAAGAATGAAAGCCGACTTCTATTTTTTAGATCTTCTTAGCTCCGACTTATCTCAGCGTTCAGATTCTTCTTCTTAATTTTTTCTGTTTCGAAAAAACTCGAAAATTTGTGCAAAACAAACCGGTCGGTAAGTGTGAATAGCGCTGAGCCACCATCATGAAAAGCAACTTCCCTGAGTGTACCATCCGCCGGACCACTTTGTGAAACGCATTCTTCAGTATCAATGTCCCAGAAACGCACTAGTCGATCCTCGGATCCCGTTGCCAGCAAATATTCAGAAGGATGGAAGGATACATGCAATACCTATACTGAAGAGAAGATAGAATGGAAGGTCTGAGAAATTTTACATTCATAAGAATCTTCGATATTAGCTCGAGGTTTTTAATGCTGATGAGGTGAAATTACTCTACGTTATCGAGACTAAAAAAGATACACCTGTTGATCATATATTGCAGAACAGATTTATTTTTTGTTTTACAGGAACCAATTCTCTTTCCTCTCATCTACTGGATCATGCTTTGCAGCTGCAGCTCACCAAATTAAATCAGTCCTCAGCGCGTTGCCTTCGGTATTACTGGCATGCAAGCTGAGCTCGGCTCTCTCGAATAATTAAGGCAAATCTCATTGCAATAACCACATAATTAGGTAAATTACCTGGAAACTTGGTAAAAACAACCTGAGATCCAACTGACCTGAGATGAAGAGGGAAAAGACCTGTACTCTTTGACACGTGGATCCATCAAGTACAGGTGATCAGAGCCTAGAGCTATGAAAGCATCATTCGGGCTATAACATAAACAGTTAGTTGAACGATCAAAACGCCGCACTAGTACGTTAGCCGGATGTTGTCTTGTATCCCAAAGAGTTACTGTGCAGTCAGTAGCTGCCGATGTCCACATATATATAGACCTAAAATTAGTGTGATTCGGTGAACTTAATACCACTAGCATTTCTGGTCACCATTCCAAACCCAGCTAAGTCTTAGAAAAACAACGAAATTCAGATTTTCCATCATAGGCAATTCATGAAATTTTCTGACTTTCGATCTTCTATTTTGGCTATAACACAGGAAATGTAAATTTCAAGCTAGCTTAATCCAAATACTTGTTTTCAGTTAATCAGAAGCTAGAAGTTCCAAAAACTGACCTATTACTTTGGGATATGGCATTAATCCGTCCTTTATGGCCAACCAATGTTCGCATTTCACGTCCTAAAATACTACTCATAAAACTTTTTCTGTTAATAATATTCAGAATACAACAAATATTAAACTCAAAGATGACGTCAAAAAATGTTTGTTTTAAGTTAATCATAAAATTTAGAGCTCTATGGAATTCAACAAAACGAATGTAAAAGTGATAAGCATCTTAAACATCTATCGATGGTTTATTTAATTTGTTTTTTGTTTATTTTATTGATGGTTACATTAATGATATTAAAGAAATTATTTCCGTTAACTACCATCTAATAAAGTGTAAATTTTGAAATAACTGGCCCCTTTTTATATTCTATTGCAGCAATAATTTATCAAACAAAATAACAGCACGGTATAATGATTTTAAAAAATTGGTTTAATTTACTTTCGAAAATGATATTATCTCAGGTAAACAAAAGTGCAATACCCCGAAAATTGCTGTATTTTAAATGGAGTAATGTTCCTACAGTAGCAAGCGGAAGATCTAATATGAAAGCTTCCACTTAACTGTTTCAACTGTTTCTTGTTGCACTTTCCGTGCTTACTGAACACATATTAATTTTTAAGCTGCTTAATATTTTAAATGGCAGCTAATACCTGTGAACAGAAAAAAATCCCTCATTATAATGGAATATACATTAATAATGTTTTATTTTTTAAAAAAGCCTCATGGAACCGTGGTAAAAATGTAAAATTTGAATGCCATTACATTTGGAGCCTTGCTTTTATTCGTTATCCGGATTAAATTTAGATTTCAGAAACATTGAAACAGGAAAAGCCTTAATATTTTAATCGTATTCATAGCACAGCCAAATTCTTTATCAAGTGATGGTCCTGGTAAATCACGCGGCTACGATAAATATGAAAATGTTAATCTTCTCATAAAATAGCAATTTCTCAAAAACACCATTTATCAAAATTCTATCAGATTTGATTGAAGTTTCAGATAGTTGCTCTAACCTGCATTGTTTATTGAAATGATTCAAAATATAAATTTCTGAATGTTATGAAAAAAAACTTATATAACGAATTATAAATTTACCAGTTTGGAGATCCATGAGTTTAATGGCAGCCGAGGTTGCATAAGCGAGAATTCGTTCATCATGTGCTAATGAAATACAATTTGTAATCAAAGTTGATGATTCATTCAACTTCTGAAATTAGGAATAAATGAAGCAGATAAAAGATAAAAAAGTCAAATGTTTGATCTGAGTTTTCAGCAGCGTGAGAATTGGACCACTTTCCTTTTTGCGCACAGAATAAACTGACAGCTTTGTTTGCAGAAACAATATTATGCATTTCTTCTTTGCATTAAAAAAAAAGCAGATATATTTACTACTCTTCTATTGAAGCGTAGCAGTTGAAAACCATCATTAGTGGTATACGTACAGTGGTAGCTAGTGCTTCAGCATTTTGTTCAGTATCATGTTTCAAATTTTCGATGTCAAAATCATAAATGGTACTGAAAAAGACTAAATCTTAAAGGAATAGAATAATGAAACACTAGGCTTGTCTGTCAACTGATACGATATAGTGCACTAAATAAGTAAGCTCTTATCACAGCCCATGCATCTGCACAAATCTACGATTAGAGACTGTGCGTGCAGATCGCTGCATTGAGAAGATGCGATATTATGTTGAAATGGATGAGCTCCTTTCTGACATGTGACAGCGAAAGCTTTCACATAGCATAGCGTATAATTCAAATCCTTTTTACAGCATCACTGTTTAAAGTTTACATTATTCCAAAATATTATTCCTCAATATTTCGCCTACCCATTGATCTTGTTCGGATGAAGCGTTAAACGGATAACACATAAGAGGCGGAGAAACGAAAACATTTCTTGTTTGTACACCAATGACACCAATTGTTGCAGCATCTTCATCTACTGCTCTCTCAACTGAAATTAAATTTGTCCTTGCAGTTTCGTTCCCAGATCTTATTTAACTAACTCCGAGTGGATAAGCGCTGATACAACAATCTAATTATAGAAAATTAGAATCATTTATTGAGCTGATGTCAACAGTGCTTAGATAGACTCAAAAATAAAAAATAAACGTACATAAAGACTGCATGTGCAGGAGCCCATCCGTCCAACTGTCGGATATCACCAATGAATAAACTATAATTTTCAATACATTTTAAGTGAATAATTATTTTCAGACAACTTTCGGAAAACATCATTCAAAAAAACATAAACATCACGATAATACAAAATAACACGATTAAAAAGTGATGTAAACATTAACATACAATGTACTTCTAAAGAAATCTTTACATTAATCATTTTCACTTTCCAATTAATTTCAATTCATATTTAAGATAATTTTAAAGATTAGAACTAGAAAAACTGGACGTAGATTGAAGATCTTTTGTTGTTTCAGGTTTATTCTATGATAAGGTTAGAATTAAATCTTACCTAATGAATATGGAGCAGGAGTTATTGGAAATATATACAAGAGCTAATTATCAGTCCGTTAATAAAAAAAACTTTCAGAAAGGAGAAGGTGAGACACTGTAATAATACACAGTGTTGTCACAACTACTATTGCATGATACGGAATAGATGAATGTTACGCAGACAACGAAGTCGGTGAGAAGATGGGCAAACGACCGATATCATCATCATCAGATCTCCCACACTAAAGGTATGCACATCGATTATGTCACATAGAATTCAGCGGGAAATATAATATACACTTAAAGAATAGTAAAAACTCTGAAATGTATCAAAAACTCTCCGCGATCTGAATATTCACTTCAATTTCACACAGCTAAGCAACATCAACATCAACAACATGATGAATTTAACTTTCAGAGTTAAAAAAACTTCACTCCTGACGTGACATGATTCATTTAAAGATCCAGATATCGAGTTATATTTTACACTACATGACAATCCATCATCAAGATTGACAGTCTGATAATGATTACCAATAAATGGCTATATTTTCTTCACTTGATCAAAAGCTTCAGGAATTTATATATACTCTGTCCTACCATCATTCAATCGATGTTTTAATGATTGAAACGCCGAAGTTAGATATGCTATAACCATCATAAGCAAAATAAACTATTTTTTAACATTCAGCAGTTTGACCTTTGTTTTCAGATTTAAATGAAGGAAAAAATTTTACAATGCTGAAGTTTTTTTCGCAAATCGAACTAATCTAAACAGATCTTTTCCTGCTCTCTAAAACAAAACATGAATATAAACTTATGGTTTGCAAACCTAAGCTTTAATACCAATAGTGGTCGAGTGGATCAAAAAGTAATTATACTACAGATAAATTTGATAAATATATACCTTTTGCGGAATTATTTGTGCCTCTTCAGGCCACTATCTTTGTGATATGGAGAAAAAACAATAAACTAATGCTTATAATATGGAATACAGAAAATTTATTTATTCCAGTTCAAACTCGTTTCTGCCTTTAAAATGTATAGTCCTTGAAGAAAATATGGTTGATTTAATACCGTGAATCTCTTAACGTATATTTGGATTTAAAGTGGAAGATAATAACATTCAATAAAGAATGCCAATCACGTTTTTCTCCTAAAATATTGGGCTAATTCTAACATTAAAACAATATTTATCCTAATATATCTAATGTCTATCTCTCCTCAAAAGGAGATGTCTTAGAAATCAAAGGCAAGTTAATCTAAAAAAGAAAGATGAAAATCTGATCTTAAAGAAAACAAAATATAGTTGGAAATTTTCAAATTCAAGTTGTCAATTGAAACTTACTTCAATGTTGAAGTCCAAATAGCAAACGTCAGAAATTAATGGAAATTTCTGAAGTGACAATTAGTATACAAAAATAGAGTGAGTGTCAGAAAAACTAGTTCCAGAAATGCTTTTAAACGAAGAGAGAAGAAAAGAATTGAAATAAAGTCCACAGTTAAATAATTTCAGCTGTAATTAAATCAGCAAAATGTAAAACCATAGCTGTGTTCTTGCCAATTTATGGATCCTGCAACGGTAATCTGCCGCAGGAATTTCTAAGTAGAGCCAGCAGAATGGTCCTTTTAAATATAACCACAGAAATTTGAAGTACTAACAGATTTCTTAAAAACATCAGTTCGATAAACAAAAAAGATGTGATTTGAAAATTATACGAAATAAACAGAATTCCATAAATTCCGCACAATTCATTTCACCATTGAAACAATACACTAAAACAAAAAATGATAAAATGGAAGCCACTGAATTGCAGCTCCAAAAATTGTCTATGTCATATTATCCTTCTTTTTAAAATCTATCAATCTTCAATTATATTTAAAAAATGATATGTATCTTTTATAATTATTCTTAAAATTTGAAGCAAAATTAAAGAATGGCAAGTAAATTACATCCCAATAAATTATGAAATGAAATGATTAGTTGAGGTGTTGATAAGAGAGGTAAGATCAGATTAGAAGTTGAAAATTTTCGAAAACAAAACGATAAAATGATTCGAAAAGTAATTTGTTGAATAAAAACAAAACTGTGATTTGATGAAGAAATAGAAAGATTAACATGTACATCGATATAGGCTACTTCAGTTAAACATTCTAATGTTCAGGCCTATGATATCATCTTTCTTGGCAGCTGATTTGCATCATATTCCAGTGATTATTTTTTTTATCACATAGGCAAAGGAAGCAGCTTTTTGTTCAGAAATTATAAAATTGAGAATGGAAAGAAAAAATTGATATATTGATTAATGTTGGCATAGTATAAAGTTCAGAGCATTTATATATTGCGCAAATTTTCACATAGAGATTGGAAAACGTAAACAATGAACAGATGCTTAAAATTTAAACGTGATGGTCTTAGGGTAAAGAATAAAAGATTTTCCAAACAGATGTAATACATAATGCCTTCGAAAATTTTGGAGAAAACAAAAAATACTCATTCTAATATTTGGGACGCTAAATAAATCGATCGGATGAATTATTCAGCCTTTTCTTTTTGAAAAGGACTGAGACCGAAAGCCAATCTGAAATTGGATCAGAAGGGAGTTTTGATGAAAAGGTCAAATAGATGGCAAGCATGCTTCATCCCCGATCTGCTAGCAACGATTTCAAAAATTAATTTATGAATCTAAAAAGCTAATAAAAACCAAAATCTTTAAAATTCTGTCGACATTGAGTGATTTTCATTATAAATGAATTTCGCTTTACTCATATAGCTTTTAAGAGAAGATAATATAATTCTAAAAAAAATTAAAATCTATTTCATGAATTAAAAACTTGGAAAGAGAAAACAATCAATGAAACATATAGGCATAATTTTGCATTAATAAGATGGAAAAAAGTTAAAGGATTAGATTTAAGTAAATTTGAAACTAACAGAAATTCAAAAGCAATGATAAAGATTAAACAGAGCTTCAATTCATCTTAATCTCTTAATTTGATAAAAGATTTCCAATACCAAAATTGCAGGAGAATTTCAAGAATTATACCATAGGCAGTAAAAAATTTAATTGAATGATTTTCGGAAAGAAAAAAACTATTGAGAAGATATATACATCTAATGTGAACAGATGCTATCCATTAATGCAAGTTTGTTTGCTCAGAAAAGATGAAATGGTAAATCGGTAGGGCGACATTTACATGAAGTAAAAATGGTTTTTCCAGAGACTTCCAGTAAGATTACTCTTTACAGATTGTAACTTTAAAAAAATGTGTAACAAATATAACAATGTTTATTCTAATTAATATTAATTATTTTGAGAATGGAAAAATGAACTTCCTGAATAATTGCACACAGTGAAAGATTGCACGTGGAAACTATAATGATTAACTTTTTCAAGAAAGAAAATAAACCAAAGGGTCCAGATAGACAGATGTGTTCAAAATGAGCCTAGCTCGAACAATCAATAGCTTATATTGAATATTCTAGCAATCTTGAAATTCAATAAATTTCATTCATTTCAGCCTATTTCTAGAGAAAACAATGATGAGTAGGAGAGTGCTAACAGTGCAATCAAATATTGCAAGTGCACCGAAAATGATCAAATTGATCTTATTGACAGATAGGAAGAAGATGAAAATTGGCACACTTTAGAATTATTACATCCCGTTAAAGAATTTGATATGAAGTAATAATTACTTAAGAAATATTTAGGAAAAATTAGAGAGAAATAATAAAGAGGATAGAGCAAAGCTGTAACACATTATTAACGCCAGACAACGAAAATAACCGTAGATATTCAGAAAGGAGTAAATATCTAATATGTAGGAGGATACCGGAAGGTGGGATCAATAGAATGTTATGGCACATATCACATATGCTCAAATCATCAAAAGTGTAGTAGTTTAAAACAAGGTTATAGCTCAGATATTTAAAATATCATTACGCTTTTTGAGGCCATAAATGAATAGGAGCAACAGATCGAAATAATGATATTAGTACCTATTGTATAGCTATTTCAGGTTGGAGAAACCGGTTGATACTTTGCTCGACACTGTCGCCATTCCATCTCCCATACAACTATATCGACGAGAATTGGAAAACTGGGCTGTGTTAATGTTTGTGCCAACATATAATGTGCCATACACATACATACATACATACACCACGCATGTACACAGCGTTTAAAAAAACGAAGAATTAATATCAACAAAGCAAGCTTGCTGGATGATGACAATAGGAACAGTAGACATAATAATGGTAATGAGATGGATTCATATACATATTTATTTATAACTGAGAGAAATATACTACACCCGGGAACTGCTAATTATATCTCTCGAAGAACAGTACTATTAATGACACTCATCAGACCATATTGGCGACATAGGCTTCATTATAGAGAATAAGACTGAAGTAGAGAGAGAAAGAGAGAGAGGCAGAAGTATCTAACTATTGGTATCATAGTGGTCAGTGATTTATACGTATTCTGCTCAATTCTTTTCAAAATATTCACTTACACGAAGTATCCACCATTTGTTCCATATCAGCTGCTGAATAAAAGGGAAAGGAAATGCCTACTGGTCGCGGTCAGGAAAAAAGTGATTGGTAAGGTAGAAGAGAGGTCAGCGTCATCTCTTTTGTTACAGTTAAGCTGCTGAAATTATCTTTTGCGATGTCCACAGATAATA